CCTACATTATACTTCTTAATTGCTTCTGCAGCGTCAAGTGTGATTTGGTCATCGGTGGCGTCGCGGTTGGGCAACGATAGGTCAAAGTATTTCAAATTAACGTCCAGGTAAGGTAGGATTAGCTTCTCTTTGATCCAGGCCCACAGAATGCGGGTCATTTCATCCCCATCAAGCTCAACTACGGGGTTTTCAACTTTAATTTTCCCCTCAATATCAAAGGCAGGAACCGAGCCTGCGCCTTCTGTTTGTTTCTCCGCAGACGAAAAGTGCCGCCACTGCTGCCGCTGGTGAAGTGTATGCTGGGCTCCGGAGGAGGAAAGTACACCTTCTACGCTGCACCCTCCATTTGTTTTTACTAGATTGCAATTAGAAGGGCGCGAACAGGCAACAGCCGTGTACAAAGAGCGCCGGCCAATGGAGGCGGCGTTTCGAAGCAGAGAATTCATCGGTACCTGAAAGTAATCGAAGGGGATATTGGTGTGAAAGAAGGAACATTCAGATTTTTTACGATAATCACCTTAACTTTTCCATTTTTTTCATTTCATGGGTCCCGTTAAGCCCCACTCCCGCCTTCTAGTGATTAGTTTCGACACAGCAGCCCCGTGCAGCTTTGAGTGACGCAGGTGTCTCTGGGTCATGAAAACAAAATGAGGCCAAACGATTTGAGATCTTTCGGTTTGTTTTAAGTCTGTAGAGAGAGAATAAGTTTAGTGTAGGATCCCAAATTGACAGCTGTTCGTGCATTCGAGCACGTGCCTGCATGCGCATGCTTGTCGTCACTCCGTTGCGATGCATCTCATGGGGTGGTCGATGAATTTAGTATTTTTAATTCTTGCGAACACGTTAATTTCTTTTGTTGGATTTGTCTCAGCAGACAGAGCCCCAGACGACGGATCGCAAGCTCAGGTGCTCGCCAGCGGCCAAGCTGGGGGCCCACCATACACCACAGCAGCAGGCAAATGCCCAAGTGCTTGTAAACTGGAAACGTTGAAGAATGCGTCGCCTGTGTGCCCCAGAGAGGTAGCTCGGGAGAGCTCAGCCGAGGCGCATGTACAGCCCAAGGAGGGGGCAAGCGTCACGAACAGTGGCAACAAAAATGGCACCCCCCAGGGGGCAAACAGCGGCGAGGATCGAACAGCCGGAAATAACAACGGCAGCATTAACAAAACTACTGGCGCTAAGACCAGCGGAGGGAGCAGCAACAGTAGTACCAGCGGCGACGGCAGCGGCAGCAAGCGCAGCAAGACCAGCAGCAGCAAGAGCAGCAGAGTGAACCCCAGCAGCCACAGACAGGATGCCCAACTGCGCCTTAGTCTGTGGGACAGCATAGTGCTGATTTTACTGGGTGTCTTGGCCTTGGCGAGCTCGGCTGCGCTGATTGACGCCAGCTTTATAGGGGACCTCTGGCGGCGTTTTTGCTACAGCTGTGCTCCTCTCCGTCGCCTTCTTCGCAAGAGGAACAAAGCTAAAATTAAACTTCAAGTCCTAGCAGCAGAATACGAACGAGTGGTGCAAGCGAGGTCAAGAATTGCCGTACGTTGCTGCTGCCTAGAAAACATACGGAGTATTTAGTTGAATAAGTAGTTCTCCATTTGGGTAGCTTCATATCGCTGCTCTTCTCTATCGGCTTTTGGGGGCATTTGGCATGCCTTCTGTTTCTTCAGCCTCTTTGGTTCGTTGCAAGGCAAACAGGAGACAAAAACGAGATGGTAAGTGAATTCAGTGTAATTATTTGTTTAAGTATTTTGCTCTCTTCGAGTCCATTGGGGGTTTGGCCCGTTACATTTGTCTTTTTTTGGCTTCTCCTTCTTGTTCTCTTGTTGACCACTACTTTTGGTTATTTCTTTCTTTTGTTTTTTCCTGTAGGCCTCCTTGAAGCGCCAAGTGAGGAAAGCTGATAACAAACTCGCCGCCATTCGTGCGCGTTACGCGAAGGAACTCGCGAAGTGTACGTACACGCGATTAGTGCACAGCATAGACTTGACTCAACGAAAAGCAAAAGGCTAGCACTGACAGTTGCCAATGACCTTCGTTGGCATCTGCAGACTCTTTCTCTTTTTTTCTATTGCTGCCCCTATGTGTTCTGTTGTCTTCTGCCTTTTTTATCCAGCGGGGTTCCTGCGGCTGCTGCTGCGTTTCGTGAAAAGCTGCAAATGGGCTCCCAGCTGTCTTCGGTCCTCGGATTTGTCGAGCTTGTCAGACACCTCAGCTCGGAGTGTATCGACGGTTGAATCTCTCGTGCACAGAAGGATAGAAGCTGAGAACACTAACAAGAAGAGGGGACAAGGAACGAGCAGCCGCAGCCATAGCAGCAGCAGCAGCAGCAGCAACCGTAGCCGCAGCAGCAGCTGCAGCAGCAGCTGCAGCAGCAGCTGCAGCAGCAGCTGCAGCAGCAGCCGCAGCAGCAGCTGCAGCAGCAGCTGCAGAAGCAGCCGCAGCCGCAGCAGCAGCAATGACGCGGCGTTGAAGGAGGCCTGCAGCTCTGAGAAAGCAGGAGCGGCATTTGAAAAGAAAACACAGGAAGGCAAACAGAAAGCCAGAGACAGCTCCAGCGGGTCAGACAGGGAGGCGCGGCTCCTCTCCCGCTGCATGCAGGGCCCCAAAGATCACGTGCTTTTGTCGCACAAGCTGGATCAGCTAGCGAAGAGGAAGCAGCAGTCGATGCGGAGAGTTATTCGGCTCGGTGAAGCGGGGCCTAGCTGTACAGACAGCCCTGACTCCCGAGAGCAGGCAGAAGAACAATGAAGTAAAAGCACTTCTTTTTTAAAATAGGTTTTATTTATCGAGCGATGAAGATCGAACAACACAAGAATGCTAAACTCGTGAGGTGCGCACGAACGCCCCAAAGTAAAGTGCGGGAGGAGCGGTCTCACAAGGCTGCATTCCGTGGTTTGCCTGCAGCCAGCTAAATTTGTGAATTATTAAGGTCAGAAGCCGATAACGTAAAGTGTATTCCATAGATATGTGCGCATTTGTCATGGGGTGTTCATAACGTACAAAACATACACATCGCCCGAATATTCTCAACCCTGTAGGCACAGTGGACTTACACCTGCAAACAGCGCGTGTGCGTGATTGTGAATTCGTATTTGTCTGCAAATGTGGAGTGTTGCTGTTCATATCAGTTCAGCTTTTGCCTCATTCGCTTGTTTGAAGTGTATGCTTGTCTCTTGTTTCTTGCGATATGTCATTGTCTGCTTAATTTTATTTCACTGTTTGCTATCTTCTGTTTATTTTGGTTTGGACTTTGCCTGTTTCAAATATGTTTCGTTTGTGTCTCCTGTATCGTTTTGTTTTGTGTCTGTTTCTTTCCTTTTTATCCACTTGTCCTCTTGTGCGCTTGCTTTCATTTCCTGTTATCCTCTCCATTTCCATTAGCGCCGTTCCTAGGCGCCGCCCCGCATTTGACGCGCATGTATAGGGCATAGTGACATATGTTTACACAGACATAAACATATGTATATGTAATTATATATTATATGTGGTTCTCTTAGGGCGTCGCTTTGAGGTGTCAGTGCACCTGAGTTGGCTTCTGTTGTTTAATGTGTTTCCATTCGGAGGTGCACTTACACCGCCGCAGTCTGCCTGTGCATTGTCTGGTGCACTTTAGTAATAAGTGGACGAATTTTATTGTTTTCGTCCCAACAAACAAACAAAGAAGACAGCCTCCGCTGCGCCGCTCGTTCGCAGACCCATTCAGTTCCTGACTAATTCTAAATTTAAGAGGAAATCAATAGAAGTTGGTGCATTGTATATGCTTGTATAGCTGCGCGGAGCAGAACCCTAAACTAACCACCCGGGAACTGACAGCTTGAAGCTGCGTCTCAGCCAAAAATTACTGCCACTGATGCTAGTGGGCAACTCGCTTACTCGTTAACTTAGGACTGAAGGGTAGCTGTTTGTGACGGCTCGGGACGTCTACGGCAGGAGGGGCTAAAAAGGGCAAGGAGGCAAACAGAAACAAGTGAAGCCACTCGGAGCAAAGCCGTGGAGCCAGCTTTCATAAGAGGGCAGCCTTCTACTACTCCTCGCTTTAAGCGCCAGCATAGTAAATTATTGTGACTTCAGCTCACTCGCGCTGCTGCGTCTACTATTCCAAGCATTGTGCTCCCACTCATTTCATCATGCAGTCGCCTTGCATTCCAGTTCAATACAGGCTGCCTGAAGCTGCGTTTGTGCGCAGGCGTAGAAGCAGGGCGGAGAAAGCTGCTTGGTGCTTTTTACAGTGATGTTTCCAAAGAAACAACTGTAGCCCAAAGAGCATCCTCGCGTCAGGCTCTTCGAGCCAACGCGGCTGTAGAGCCGGATACAAACATTATGAAAAGCTCCGATCTAGGACCATTCGGAAGGCGCTTTGTTGCAAATCCTATGCAGTGAAACGGCTCGTGAGTGAATGAAACCCAAGAAACAGCGGTATGCTGCGAGTTTTCAGTGCAGAGCGTCCACATGCACGCGTGTGCATATCTATTGAGAACAGATTCTTATTGTTAAGCGAGTTCACCTTTCATTTGAGTGCTTGAATAGAAGTACAAGCCAATGAAACATGGCCTTTTCCATCACTTTGAGCGACGCAAGAAAGAGGGGCCCCCGAGTGAACATTGCATGCAGGACTAGAGCAGCCCCTGCTGGCAGATCATCTTCATTTTAATCTAGGCCCATATGCAAGTTTAACGTTTGCAGAAAGCAAAACTAATTATTCAGTAATAAACGAGGCAATTTCGTCTATTTCACCCGTATTGTCCCCCACTAGCGGGAGTGGCTTGCTTGGAGAGCAAGACACCAACTAACTACTATGGCTTGACACGACAAGGAGGAAACGAAAAAATAAACAGACATCTCCACGAACAGTTTGCTATACTAAAGCCATATTGTTTCAAGGTACAATGGAAAAAATAAGCGGTCAACCGCAATCATCACCCCCGGATTTCGGCTAGGGTGGCTCTGTGTAATTTGTTGAATATCCTCTGGCAGTTCACGTCTTCTCCCCTCTCGCTACCGCCATGCCGTTTTGTGTGTTGATTTTTTCTTTCCTTCTGACTTACACTTTTATGATTCCGCTACCTGTTTCTCCCACTTCCGTCGATCAGCTGCGCCATTCCCGTATCGGTGCCCGATCCGTTGTATTCCACGCTGCGTGTATACCCGAAAACAACCAGCCCAAGGGGTCCAACCTTATTCAAAGCACGAAAGCCCATCAGGTGTTTTCGTTCCTAACTCTTCACAAAGGGTCAGCGGCCCTCCAATGTCGAAAGATCGGTGGGCGCACACCCGGGGCATCAACCCAACGATGCACTGACGGGTTCACCTCTTCGTGGTTCATTACTTCCCATGAGACGCCTCCGCGTGAAACAGTTGCAACAGCGGTAGCAGCAGCAGCGGCAGCAGCAGCTGCTTCTGCTGGACCGCCCCGACCAAATGTTGCAGAATCAGTAGCACCAGAAGCAGCAGCAGCAGGGGGAACCGTGCCATTCAGTGCCGGTCTGCCGGATATTGTGTTGCCCCCAACAAGTTCTGTTGCCCCCTTGATTGACCTGGAGCTCTGCTCCGACAGTTTCTTGTCATTGCTGGGCCCCAACCTCCAACATCAGCAGCAGCAGCACTGGCAGCAGCAGCAAGAGCAGGGTTTGTCTCGAGCAGCTCCTCCTGGAGGCGCGATAAGCTTCTTCGACGACCGGGAACAGATGCACCCCGCCCTCTCTGGCGCTTCTGATGATGCCTATTTCATTGCCCTTCACGGGCCGTTGCTGCTCTCCCACACTGAGACTGCATACACAGCGCTGAGCGCAGCCAAGAGGTTCCTCGAGTACAAGCGCGTGCAAAAGAGGCGCATGCAGCAGCAGCAGGAGGAACATCAGAAACAGCAGCAGCAGCAGGATGTGACGGAGTATTTACATGAGCTGCTGCAGCAGGAGCGATTTGACCAGGCCCCCTACTGGTTCCGGGAGCGGGTTGGTTACATGCTGAAATTTTGTGACCCTCCGTCTTACGGGTGGTTGGTGGCCCAAGCTCTGCAGTGTCTGTACAGCGTATCTGCAGCGGAGCAGCAGCTGGGGTGTACACTGGACCAGTACGCGGTGGCGCGTGAGGCCTCGTACATCCGCAAAGCCGCAGCAATGGACCCTGCGCAGCGTGCGCTGCAGCTGACCAGTGGTCAGCCGCGATCCCTCAAGGACAGCCTCAAGTTCAAAAGAGGCTTTCCTGTTTTCCCATGGGCTGTCTGTACCCACAGAAACGAAACTAGGAGGTTCATTGAAGATACACTAAAAACAACAGAGGAACGGCTGACACAGGTGGGAAATCTAGTGTTGGGATGCTGCTGCTGGCTGTGCTCTCACTGCCCTTGTTGGTATTGCTACTGTTATGGCTGCTGCTTTCATTTTGCTGTTGAGTTTGTTATCGTTGTACTGTGCCTGTTGCTATTTTGCATCAGCGCTGTTGTAAGTGAAGCAGACGAAAATGCTAGTGCTACAATTTTGTATTCAAAATGCTGTTCTGTTTGGCGCGGCTGCTGTTGTCGCAGTTGTCACAGAGTCTTGAATTGGAATTCGAATATTTCAAACTTTAGTCGAATGTGGCTTTAATGAATAGGAAGAGAAAGTCGCTCGCATTTTTATTTCTCATGTGCGGGGGTCCAGGAAGCAAAGCGTATTTTAATTTTCATGGTTCTCATCGGTTATTTTTTCCTGCGGCCTTCATGAGGCGCTTGTGTTTTCTTATGTTAATTTGTTGTACTGCTCCTGTGCAGCCGCACTTGAGGTGTAAGTATTCAGCGTTTCCTCCTGTAAAGGCCAGTGCCTCAGCCAATCAACTCTAGTCAACATTAATCAACAGTAATCTCTTTCCTTTTAAGCTTATTTTTGCGCATTTTATCCCCAATGTCATTTCTTGTTTCTGTCTCAGCACTTCTTTGCTGCTCGGAGATCATCTCAAGGTTCTTGGCTAACCTCTGCCCGCTTCCGCTTGCCTTTGGATGAAATATATGCAATAGACAACGCACAGCAGCAGCGGGTCCAGGGTCAAAAAGAAGAACACACCGCAGATTTAAAGGAACAGCAAGCCGAAGACGAAGAGCAAATGGAAGAGGCTGACAGGCTGCTGCTGTTTGAGGGCATCAACTCAGCCGCCGTCAAAAGCATAGACGCAATAAGCGGGGTGGGTGTCTGTATGTGTGTATTGGGCTGCTCTGTTTGCTTTTCAAATTTTTGTTGGTGATGCGTCTAAACCAGTAGTTGCTGCTCGGCCTAGCTTCACTACCCTTTGCTACTCCACTCATTCCCTGTTTTTGTCCGGTTGTTCTTGTTTGCCTTCCTTGTCCGCTTTTATCGCTGTATTTCTCTGCCATGCAATCAGGGAAGTAGGCTTCTGAGCCATATATTTGTTTTCCGTTTCAGAGTTGGCAGCGTCCAGTGTACATCCTCTCTCCACTTGAGCGGGCACGCTACGTTCGCGATCTTTTATTTTCTTTTGGGGTGTCTGCTGAGGCTTTAAGACGCATCCATATACTTGGGACCGATGGATTTCTAATGGGCTTCGAGGACGACATCAGGGAGGCGCCGCCAGATGTACATACAGCTCAGATTGAGCCAGCAGAGACAGAATCACGCACAGAAACAGCAGGTGCTGCTGCTGCTATAGACGAAAGCAGGAAGCTAATGCGCATGGTCAGGGGGGCGGTTCAACTATTTGAATATCATAAATCCTTGGGACTTAATGGGGTTCCTCATTTCATTGACGGGAATATCCGCACGCTAGAACATGCTGTGAACTGCCCCAGGTAAGCTTCGCTCTTGCTACTGCAACTGACGTTGCTGGCTCTTGGTTGCGCTTGGCTCCTGCTGTTAGGGTTGTGCTACTGTAACTCCTGCGGGCGTTATCGTGGCTACTTCTGCTGCTATATGGGTTGCTGCTTCGGCTGTAGTTGATCCTACTGCTGCTAAATTGTTGCTGCTGCTGTTGTGGTGGGTGTCGCTGCGTGTGTCTGTTCAGCATGCACCAGTGGCGTCTATACTTCTGCGATTGGGGCTTTTCAACTTTTGAAGATAAATTAAAAGCGATGATATACGACAGGTAAATGCTAAAAAGTACTGCCCGTTCCCCCCATGAGTTCAAATAGGGCAGCACTCCAAGCAGCCTCACTGTGTTAAATGAGCAGAACAAGTATAACCTGGACGAAAACTAGTGGATAGAAAGCAAGGAGGGCCAGAAGCAACAATAAACACGAAATAACTCTTAAGAGTTGCGCCGTCTAGGTACTACAGCGAGTGGTGGGCGCGCCAGTTAACAACATTATTTATTATTTGCCATTGCAACTGGTTGCTTGTCGTTACTGATTCAGGGTAAAGTTCCTGCCGCTGATGTCGTCTCTGACTCGTTTACTAATTACTCCTTCTTTCCTCACGTGTCGCTTTTGGGCGCTAGGCTCCACCACAGCACCAGCAGAAAAGCTTGAGGAGGGCAGAATGGCTAGGTGGCTCAGGCATACGGGGGCCCTCAAGACAGACCTTGTGCATCCCGAATCCAGGGTTTAGCGTTTACAAGGTGCAGTTTGAAGCTAGGGTGGAGGCTTTTGGATCAAGGGTCTAACAGGCAGTTGCGGCTCCTTGTTACCCTCTTACTTTGAAACAAAGAAGTCATTTGGAACCCAACGGCAAACTCTAAATCCGCAATGCTATACCTTTTCTTAGTTAAGCTAGTGTGCATTTGACTCAACGGGCCCCCTGGGATGTTGGTGAAAATGCTACAATACGTAAACAATTATTGCGCGCCTCAAAATGTTGCATCTGCGTACTTTTGCGCCCACTTGTATAAATATGTATTCATGGCCACTCATGTGTATTTGTAAATACAAATTTGCATGTACACAAATGACTGTAGAGAGAAGTGCAAGTCAATGTGCACAAGCACGTGATATGCACTATGCACAGAGTGTATGCATAAATCGTTATACTTGCGTTTCTATGTGTGTGCTCTACTGAATATGTGGTGAATCTATAGCTCTTGACAAAATATACAGACAGTCATGTTTCCATAAGTGGCTGTGAGCTACGTGTAAACATGTGCGTGCGTAGATACGTTTCTGCTTGACGCACTGCACACTAGCGGTGCTGAACACAAGTAACTTAAGTGACTGCGGAAATGAAGTCAAAGGCAAAAAAAAGGGAAGAATGGAGCAGTTGAAAAATAAACGAAAAAGGCAAACGGGGCTTCTGCCCAGTCCGCGACCCACGAATGAACGGCGCAACATTTGCTCTATTCTGTTTGTTTTACGGTCTGTAGGATCCTACTGTATTAAGTGCAGTACTTTCCGCTCTTCATCCCTATTTGCTGCGCTTTGCATTCTCGGCGCTTCCCCTCAGGCTTTCGCCTGCTCGTGGGCAAATGATGCCGCGGGCGTGTATGAAATCGGCCTTATGCCGTACCTGGCTGCCCACTCTTCTCGCTGCCTCTCTACTTCTTCTTCAGAAATAAATCCCATATTAATGGCGTCCCCCAAGAGCTCGTCTGGTATGAAGCGGATATAGGGCCCGCTGGGTGTATTAACAATCATCTTGATCTGTGCTGGCGGCAAAGGTGAAGCAGCTTCTGTCTCGCTTTCCGAGTTGTCGCCCAGAATGCAGGGCATAGCCTTCTCGCTGAGCTCAGTAATATCATTTAAAACGTTGCACACGCACTGTTCGGAAGCAGGGGGCTCAGATCCATACAGATCTCCGTCTCTTGACTCAGTTGCTGCCGTGCGGTTGCCTCCCATGTTAAGTGAACTGAGGCTCTGGTACCCCCGGCTGATGCTCTTCTTAACAGAAGCAAACGTCTCTTGCACCTTGGAGGTAAACGTGCGGGGCGAGGGAGGAGCTGACGGCTCGCCCGCAGAATCTGCTGCAGCAGGAGCGGAGGCACCGTCTTGCTGCTCCTCTTCTCGCTGCTGCTGTTCCACCTTCTGCTGCTCGGTTGACGCTGCAGCAGCTGCGTCATCAAGCTGCTTGTCCCGGGTCTCACGTTGGTCCCGCACATCTTCGCGCTGCTCTGGTTGCTGCTGCTGCTGTTCATCCTGCTGCTCTTGTGGCTGCTCCTGTTCTTGCTTCTGCTGCTGTTCCTCAAACTGCTGGTGCTGTTGCTGTAGCGTAACGCGTCTGCTGAGGGCCTCCGCATCTGTCATTCCTGCACAGGAGGTGGCAGTGGAGTCGTGTCTTGTCGGTGGTGCATTTCCGTGGATCAGAACGACACCAACAATATCGGGAGTTTGTTTTGTCTCAATTGCTGAGTCTTCATTTGATTCTGCAGCTGCCGCTTCTTCTATTGCTGCCACTGCAGCTGCCACTGCTGCTGCTGGTGTTTCGGGAAGTGCTGGCTCTGCCTCTTGGGTATTTCTCTCGTTTAGGCTGCCAGACGAGACTCTGGCCTCCTCTATTTCTGCTGCTGCCGCTTCCGTCTCCGCTGCTTCCTTCACGGGTTCCACTCGGGATGCCGCCGTGGGCTCGATATCGACCGCCTTATTGCGGCGGGCTGGGCTGCGGCCTTTGTTTTTGCTGCACAGCCCCATGGTGCATGCAATGAAGAGGAGTGACGAGCTCCGGGGCACAAAAGAAGCAAAGTGAGCGAGCAGCAGCAGCTGCTCGGCGAACCAACTGCCGCGGAAACGAGAACGGATGGTGGAAAACTGGGGAAAAGGAAAAAAAGAGCATACCAGCCTTGGCTTCAGACTGAATTGCACTTTAGTGAAGTAAACCGGTGGAACAAATGTGGAAAACCAACAAGGGAAACAAACCCCAACACGCACTTGCGATGGTGATCCGGTGGCTACGGCTGGCGGCGGCTGCCAAAGGACTCGCCAGACGGCCGAATTCGCCTCGAATGCCTGGAAAGGGCTTCAATTTAAAAAATTCCGCTCATGCAGAAGAAAAATAATGAATTAGTTGCATCAGTGTACACCTGATACGCTCAAAAGAAGGAGCTCTTTCCGCTGCACATACTCACTTCATGCTGCCGCCTCAAGTCGTTAACGCTTGGGGCAAGTGGAGGGAAACGGTCTTACGGACCACAAAATGCCGCTGGTCATCAAAATATGTTTCGATCGTATTTAACGATCACTTTGATCTACAAAAACCTGAAAAGTAGCTCTACGGACCCGAATATTAGCCTTAGTTTCACCAGCCTTTGAAGAATCGACTTTTTAGGGGTGGCCTGTGGACTGGCGGACGACTGTCACGCTGGGCTCACGTGCAAACCGCAACGTTTTTATTTGCTTCACCGCACTTAAATCAATGCTTTTCACTCAAACTAATTTATTTTAATGAATTGGTTATAAATAATTGCTTCCTAAAAGCTTTGGGCTAACATCTACAGCTTTCCGTCGTCCGTTCCACCTGGGTTTCCATTATTTTTTGCCAAAAGTTGCCATGGTCATTATCACGCTCTCCTCTAGAGCCTCATCCAGACCCGAGAGCTTGGACTTTATAGCATCAGCGGTCAATTCTGAGGCCCGAATTCTGATCCGTAAACTGGAAGCTACAAACTTTCAAAGTTAAGCACCTGAGCCCCTAGCGCACACGTATTGCCACTGGCAACCGTCAGTGGTTTCGACTGAAGTAACGGGCTGTGGTCAAGAGAGTTTAAAGTTTAGCGTGCCTCAAAACTACCGGCAGCTCTGTCTCCCAGTCTGTGGAGGATGGACGAAAGCATACTTCATGAAATCCACAGCTGTGAGAACGCCCTAGGGCTTAGTGCAAAGGATATGGGGTTTGGAAATTACGGTTTGGGTATCAGAAGTTACTGCTGTAGGCTCTGAGGAGAGTCACTGGAGCCCTTCGAAAAAAGCGTGCTGCCTTCTGACCTAATGGCACCCATCCTATTTGAATCCGAGACAAAAATTGATGTTTTATGCATACTAATAAAACAACATGCATGCCAGATATACGATCCTGTGGCAAAGATGAGTATCAAACATGAATCAAACCTCAAGAAAACGTAACACGAGGGTCCAGCTCCCACGGAAGAGGGTGGACGTCGAATTTACTTGAAGCTAGATGTCTCTCCACCTGTGCCTTCAGGTGGCTAGATGCCTGCGGCTCAGTATGAACGTGGAATAAGACCAATGCGGTGGCTCCAGTAAACGAATATACGCTGGGTAGCTTACGTGTTCAAACACACTATTTGCGGTACCTTTGGCTCCAGCAAACGAATATACGCTGGGTATATTACGCATTCAAACACATTATTTGCGCCATCTTTGAAATTTTATCTGCATACATTACGTTTCTGTATGCGTTACAGACAAAATACACAAATTTCAGGCCTATATCTCTTTGTATGAAAGCTCATATGCGTGTGTAGGCATATGCATTTTAATATCCTTTTCTTTATAATATTTGGGCGAAAGTGCGACGAGTGTTCCCTACTTAGAACATGAAACATAGCAGGATCATACGAAAGGACGATTCAGCAATGACTATATAGCTATCCTCCTATTTAATTCAATGTAGCTATTGACACTAAACTCATTTTGCATCAGTTGAACTGTCGTTAATTTAAGTGGCTCGGGAAGCTCGTGACCGTTTTGGATTTGTTCTTAAACGTTGCTTCGATTATAGGTGTGTTTTAGCAGCTACAATTACGCCCATTATTATACATATACCTGAGCTGCTCGCTTAATCGTGTGTATGCACCTCATTCAGGATTTGTCTACCTGGCAGGACCACCCGGGACACTGCGTCGGTCAGCATTTCTTCCTAGTCGAAATCCCCCAATAAATAATTACACTTAGCTCAAAACACAGTTTTAATGAAAATTAAGGCTACTGGAGAAGATGAAGCCACTTCAAATTGAATGAAATAGATGATGCAGGGAAAGGAGTATATATGAGGCTGCACACTGGTGGAAGGACACGTAACCCACTGAAATATTTCCAATTTCTCTCAGAAGCAGTTTTTAAGAGCTTTATAATTTTGCATTTTGTAATGTATTTTTTTCAACGTTGGCCGATCTTTTCCTCCGTTAGTTTCAGTCGGTGACCGTGGATTGGGCACTGCACGGCTGGCTGTTGCGTTGCAGCCAATTTTGGTACATGTTTTTCGCCTTATACGCTGAAATACAAAAGCCGAAAGTTTAGATTAATCAATATAAATTTGCAATTGTATAACCACGTTGATTCATGCATTCCATCAGACCTCACTTGAGTGTGCATACACCATATCCCGAACGGTCACTTCTAGGGAGCGGCTTTACTGAATGAACTATTAATTTCATTTTCTTCAAACTTTCTTTTTTATTTTTGCCTTTATTCTATTCATATTATTTAGTATTTTAGAGGGAGAGAGTAAGAGTCGACTTTGTTCTGATCTGGGAGATGCGCTGCTATTTTTCTGCTGTGCTACTCATGCAATCCACAAAAGCGCAGAACAAGAACCGCTTATTTGACGATTAAATAAAAATACTGAGTACATATAATAAGAGAGCAAAACACGGACAGAGGAAGTAACTAAGGGAGAGGGCAACGAACACGGGATCCAAATCCCAGATACACGCCCAGCAAAAC